TGAGGGTTCATCATCGGAATGGACTCCTTCATGGATCCCATGGCAGTCGTTACATCCGACGGCTTCTAGCTGAAGCTGAGCTATTCCCGAATTGACTCTGCTTCCTGAAGAGAAATTAGGGTCGGAACCACTTGAAACAATTGGAGATTTTCCCTTGTTGACCATGTTGATGGTAACTTCTGGGAATTCATCATCTCGAGCAACCGATCCTCTTTGGTGTAAATGCCTTGATTGGGCTTCGTCGTTCCATCGGAGATTCTCTCGAATATCGAGACCCTCTGCGGAGCGGTCTTGGGGCAGCTACACGTTGATAATACTGCCCTGATAATTTTGATATACGGACAGCGAGAGTCCGCTTCCCGGGTACTTCTCTTTCGAGATTTATTCGCACCCCCAGCCTGATAGTACAACTCACTGACTTTGCAGTCGGAGTAACCTATCGGCTGCTCACAGGGGTTCTCAGGTATAACGCGTTCGTCTGTCCGACGCGTTTTCTACAACTCATCGACGTTGCGGTCGGAGTAACCTATCGGTTGCTCACATGGATTCTCAGGTATAACGCGTTCGTCTGTCTGACGTGTTTTCCTCTGAGTAAACATTGCCTTGTTGGCATCTACGGGAGTCACACGTTTGGAATCACACCTTTGTGAGGGTGAAACCTTAACGGGCTCCTGATTTTCTGCACGCACCGCCAAGCGGGCCGTTGCAGAAATCAATTTGTTAGGAGGTCGTGTACGACCCCCAGTCTGGATGTTGGCTCGAAGCTCCTTCAACGATCTCCAGCCTTCCTTAACAAGTGCTTTTCCTCGATTCTTGGGTAGGGCACCGATACGATCCTTCATAGGATTCCTAAACTTGAGGAAATCCACACTGCGGTGGGGCTTTACTGGAGGTTCGAGATCTAAAGTTGACGAAGGTCGGAGAGCAACGTCGCCTGCTTTTGCCTTAGGCGCTGATTTGGCTTTTGGCACCCAAACTTGTCTGGATCTCGGCGATCTCTTAACTGCCTCTTCCTTTTGCATTTCTCGTGCTTTTCGCACAAGGGCTCGGGCATGTGCAAGCAAGGTGCGGCGCTTCTTGCAAGGCGTTGGCGCCGTCTTTGGCGCGTCCTCTTTGACACAGCTGGAGCACCTTCAACACTTGTCCTTACAGCGAAGGGCAGATCTGGATCTGCAGCTTCAACCTGCTTGGATGCCGCTGGGATGTCACGGGGCACGGGTGCAGCAACGGCGACGGGATCTTGGATCTTGGAGCCGGAGGTCCCGCGAGCATTTCTGGAAGATAAAGTCTTCCTACGCCTGTTCGGAGAGGCGGATCTGGAGGAGGAGGAAGAGAGGCCTTCTTCGAACTTTTGCTGATCGAACTCGTATTCGATCTCTTCATTCACCCGGATCTTGAATGCCGGTTGCGTCACGACGGCCTCGGCAACGAGGCCGTTGGCTTCCACTGTGGTCGCCAGCTTGTTTGCGGAGAAAGTTGTTGTATTCATTGAACTCTCGTCCAAACAAACGCAGAGATCGTTTATCGGTCTTCTGCTTGCGTGGGTCTTTGGCCTGTGACGGGGACATTGATATCCGTGGACCACCTGGCACTCAGATCTGTTTCCGAAAAATCGGACAGAGCTTCGTCAATCCGCGTGAGATCTAGAAGCCTGAAGCATCTATCTCGGCTAAAACGAGATATCTGCTCTTCTTAGTGATTACCGGCGAAGGGTAATACTAAGGAAAAGGGGGGACGGGTGATGAAGATTCTGATGAAGACCTCTCCTCTCCTTGTTGAAGCGCTTGACCACTCTTCACTGCAGCAGGGCTTCGCCAATCTTCTCCAAAAATCCAGATCTTGAAAAATGAGGTAAGGGGTGGCTATTTATAGGCCATGGGGAGCACCTAGGGTGCCTAGACACCCTAGGGTGTCTCAAGAAATCCGAGACACCCTTGGGGTGTCTCGGAATTTCCGAGACACCCCTAGGGTGTCTCGGAATTTCCGAGACACCTTGGGGTGTCTCGAAATTTCCGAGACACGGAATTTTTGAGACACCCCTTAGGGTGTTTTGGAATTCCTGAGACTCCGTTGAGGTGTATTCGATTGTTTTCGCCGTAAATTTTTCGTCTGAACTCGGATTTGAGTGATTCCAAGTGCGTTGGATGCATGACGAAGAGTTCGATCCGCTCCGGTGGTTGGATTATCTGTAGAGTGGTCGAGACATGAGGGGCATCGTCCTTTTTGTGAACATCACCGGGTTCCCGATTGGCCCGGGTCTTCGTTGTTCCGAAATCCTATCAGCTCACGTAGTTCGTCGATTCACTTCAATCGTTCATCGACGTCAATTGGACTCCTGTGGATCGGATAGTGACGTTCATCGTCGCTCTTTAACACTGAACCGTTCATGGAGACCTATAGGCAATTTTCGATGCCTACAAAGGTTATCGATAGCGGATAGCGTCGCGTAACGGTGAGGCATTGTTAAGGCTATTTCGTGCTATTACGGCAAAATAACGGTAAAAAACGCAAAGTAAAATATCGGTCTAATTTAGATACGTATAAATACTAAAAAAAATTAAAGAAAAATCTAAGAAATCTAAAAGTATATAATGGATGATTTAAAGAGATCCTAAACATGAAATAAACATGTAACCATCACGTAATACCGAAGATGACTAGATGAGTTAAAAAGTCATCTTCGAGAAGAAGAGCTTAGCGGTGACTGGATCGTCCTAAGAGGAGCTCACTGTGAAGGAGGTGAGAGAAAGTATCAAGGTAGGTGCAAGAGGCTATGAGAGGTGACGGGAGTATGCTGAAAATCACAGGAGACTGTGGAATGCAATGGTCAAGAGTTGAGTTTAATTTTAAAAAAATAAGCCTCAAACCATTTTTAAATAGCAGTCAAAAAGTAAATTTTGAATGTAATTGCTCACTATTTACCGTTATGACATACTATTGGCCGCTTTTGCGAACAAACATATTCCGTAATATGTCACCGCTATTACGCGATAGCATAGCGGACGATAGCGTCGCGGGAAAGGACCACTAACGCTATTAACGCTGCTATTACGGGGCTATTTACCGCTATTTATAACAGTGGTGCAAGACTAAAGCAAAGGCAAAGGCAAGTGTGGTTCAAAATGAAAACTACCACAGATAAGTTTGATCTTGTGTGATCCCTAAATTTCTAGACATGTGCCAGTTCAAGTATCTGCGACACCATGCATCCATCTTTTATTCAGTTGGTCTAAAGGGGATTCAAGTCCTTGCGATATCTACCTTATGCATAATAATTGAAATAACGACACCGTTACACGACACTAGTTTAAAAATTTGTAGGGGATTGTTGGATTTTTTGGTTAAAACCACTTTCCAAAATTATTGAGTTTTCAAATTATATATTTATTAGCTACTGATACTTTTTCAGAAATCCTTAGTAGCGTAAGTGGAAAGTAAAAGTTTTGTTGTTTCCCTCATAAAATACCCATGGACGGTGAGACGGTCATCAGAATACCCAAATGAGAAAGCTTTTGACAATAATGGGCCTGATTAATAGAGTGGGCCCCATGACTTTAGCCTAATTTTCTTTAACAAAGAAAAATAAAACGTGATTAAAAAGACAAGCTTAGGAAAGTGTCACTTTCACTGCAAGCTTTTAAAGGAAAAGACACACTCTTACTGCAAGCCCTTAAAACAAAAATGTGATAATTGACCTCAGCACTTGTTAGGCATGTTTTGAAGAAACTGATCCAACCGAAAAGTTAGCAGAATATTTTTTGACAAATAAAAGTGTGGGTCCCACTGTTAGGCACCGTCCTTCACCGGCAGAGTTTGAAAGTTTTGAAGTAAAGTATATTATTTTATTACTGCATAGTATTTTTCCAAACATTATAAATAGGCCCAAAAACTCTTTAGGAAAAATCTTTCCGAAACAACAAAACCATAATATATATCGGTTCTCGTAGGAACATTGCCTGAACCGAAAAGTTTCAATAAGATCGAGGAGATTGATGTCTTGACCGGAAGGTCTTATAGATCGAGGAGATCTTGACGGTATTTGGTTGGTGCACACTATTATACTGTACTGCTGTTCCTGGAAGCAATTTGGTCTTGAGATCCTTGCATCAAAGTAGGCCAAATATTGCTTTAAGCATAGCGTTTACAAACGCACAGCAGCTGACTTGAAATTTTTTAAATTACAACATTTCAACTTCTTTTCAGTTTTCTCTATATTATATATGTATTATTCTAGATTTAGCCACAGGCGCCAACAACCAGTTGGCATAGATTAGATTAGATTAGCTACAATACTTGAATACACGAGAGAAAGTGTTGTACGTTGTGAACGTCCTGGTTTTTCTTCTATTTCCTTTACCTATTTCTAGGCTCTTCTGTTAAAGAGCGGAAGGACAAATAAAGAAAGAAAGAAAGAACGGTAACTGTCCCTCTTAAATACAGTCACGCATTGACTAAAAATAATGACAACTGTGGATCCAATTTTGAAGGTAAAGATAAAAACTCCGCACCTGTTAACTTCATAAGGAATCAGATAATAGATGAAAATCCTGAACTATCATTAGTAAAAATCAAGAACTCTTTTGCTTGAGTAGATCAAACATAACCATAAATTAAGAAAGAAAGAAACCGTCCCTCTTAAATAGGGAGTCAATTGTGGTGAGTTCTTACAGCAAGGGTTATGATGTAAGGATGAGTTCTTTTACGTATCTCACAGAACGGATTATGTGACGAATGTTAGACTAAGAATCCAAGGACCAAAATTTAAAGACTACGGTTTGCATTTACATTTTGCATCCTACACTTCCGTCATCACCTATTGCAACTGTCAGAATAAAAAAAAAAGGCTCGGGGGGATGGGGTGGGGCTGGGCTATGTATCCCAATAACACAGCAGATTACAGAAAAAAGGGCAATGTAGTTAGAGTAAAGAAAGACGGTGCAAAGAATTGAGAAGAAATTCTTGAGGAAGCAAAATGAAAAGAAAACAAGAGAAAAGAATACCTTCTTTTATCTCCTTTCTTTCACTCCTCTCCTGCTGTTGATGTCTTTCGGCATCTGATCTGGGCACAATAATCCTCTAAACAAAATCAATAACAATAGATGTTAAGATTATACGTTTTATAATTGACTGTGGGATGGAAGCAGCCCTCGTTAACGCTCGCGGCTCATTCGATTGTCATCGCTATTTTCTATATACAAATCTTCCAGCTTTTGAGCCCCACGAATCTTGATATTTTACTAAGCCCCAGATCCTCATATTTTGAAATAGGTCCCCCAAATCCTTTTAAGCATTTTAGAACTTTATCCTCAAAACTCTTCGTATTGCGTTACACCGTGGGGAAATTTAAAGAGTAACATCATATTCATGTTAATGTTATAAGTCATTTTTATGCTCGTACCCGTAGAAAAGTGGATATATAGCAAATACTAGAAAAAGTAAGCAGCAACCCAAAGAAAAACATTCAGTACATTTTAATTTGAAGCATATACAAACTAAAGAAACTAGATCCGCTTGTACCATCATGGGCGTGACACTTATTGTTTAAGAAAAACTATGTGTTCGCCCACTAGTTTTAATTCTACTCTTTATGCTAGTCATTTTAAAAGGGCCAATTATCAATAATAATAATAATAATAACCACCCTAACTTCAAACGATTATGAGGCAGCCCCTTAACTTAAAAAACAATAGAAACCCCACTACTTCGCACTTATGTATCATCATTTATTTTTTTTGCAGCATTTGTATACTTTAAAATTTTTAAGGTTTTCACTTATATACCCTCACTTAAGTTGGCAGCACAAAGTTTTTAAAATTTGTACTTCAATATCTTAAAGTTTTTAAAACTTGCACTTTAATACCATCATTTGAAAAATTAAAACCTTAAGGTGTATACGAGTGCTGCCAAAAACAAATGAGGGTACATGCGTGTAAGTTTAAAAAACTATATATATAAGTACTGCCAGAAACTAGTGAGGGCAATATTAGCGCCATTAAGCTACAGGGTATGTAAGTGCAAGATAGGGAAAAGTATAGGGTATTTTAGTGCAATTACGCAGACTAAGAACCTAAATAATAACTTTTAAAATTCAAGTGCCGGGTGATATCCATCATGTTTATTTCCTTCGCACCTTCGCGAGGTTTGTGAGCAAAAAGGTAGAAGACCCCACGTTCCGAATTTCATTCGATTTCTTTTTTCTTTTCCATCTCGCCATCAATCATCTCTGGTTTCTCCGTGAATTCACGATCAATGCTCAATCGAGAGGTAAAATTCTCAATCTGAGATTATAGATGCAATTTTTTTGGATTTCCAGTAGAACATATATCGCTGTTTTTACTGCGTCGTTGAGGATCTCTCTGCCTCTAGGAAGAAAAGTTATTTGATGAATGATCTGGTAGGTGTTTCCAGTTTAACGATGCAAAGGTCGGATTTTGATTTGTTATTCAAATTGTGTATTTTAGCTAGCTTAACGACTTAGGGGTTGACACAATTGAATTTTTTCATTTTAAACTTATTTGTGCATTTTTTTAACACAAGGAATCTACTATAAGTATAGAATACCCCGTTCTTGCGAGCAACTGCGTTAATCCGAGTGATCCACAAACGACGAAAGTCCCTCTTTTGCCTGCCCCTGCCTCGACGAGAGGAAACCGAAAGTCCCTCTTTTGCCTTCCCCTGTCTCGATGAGAGGAAACTGAAGCTCCTATTTGTAGGCGTCAAAAAATGCTTACAGACGTCCAAACACCACTCAAAACAACATAGAAGAACAATATACACGTCATCAGGCAGCACTGTGGCGCGTCAGCCAATGGTGCCGCGGCTAAGGCGCGGCAGCCCATGGTGCCGCGGCTAAGGCGCGGCAGCCTAGGGTGCCGCGGCTTAGGCGCTGCAACCTTTGACAAGCATCATTTGGTGATTCCTAGAGATCTAAGCTCAGACTTGATCTTTGGAAGAGTGAACATCTTACATCGATAAGATATTCGCTTTCAAATCTTTACTTCGATAAACGAAGGAAAGATCCCCAAACACCCTCAGGATCTGTGAATCGGTGGTCAACGAGCCAAAGCACTCCCGGTACAGGCAAAGTCTCACAAAACAGGAGTTGATAAACAATTTCTGTGTTATTTTCTCGAGAGTTGTATTTTTATTTATTTTCATTGTAATTTCCTGTAAACACATCAAAGTTTTAATGGAATCGACAATGGAGTCAACTTTCGCTGAAAACAAACTGGCGACCACAGTGGGAGCCAGCGGTCTC